TCTTAAAAATTACGTCAGATTGAGCTACTCTGCCGTGCTGAAGAAGAACGGCGTATGAACATTCGAGAGTTGCCAACTTTCCTTCTATAAAATGTTAATTTTTGAAGAAAATCATGAATATTTTTCCTTGAAATTTTCAGACGTTTTAGATCAAATTACAAACAAAATTATCTGAGAAATTGGTAGACAAACATTCAAAAATTTTCCTGAAAATTAGTGATTTGCCGGAGGAAATTTGGCAACGCCTCAGGGCTCATACGGCGTTTTTCCTTAACACGGCAGTACTCCCCTTCGTGCCGATTCCGCGCAAAAATGGACGTATTTCTGCCAAACGGAACGATGTGCATGAAGACATGAGCTCTGAGACTCGTAAGACTACATGCATAGCAGGGCTCACGTCGTAATGCACATAGTTCCGTTTGGCAGAAATACGTCCAAATGAGGAATGCAGTGAAATAAACCCGCAGCGTCTAAATGTTAACCGCGATTCAATTCGCGGCATTTGAACATCGGGAACTTAACGGATACGATCCTGATCATCGGTCTTCACTCCACGAAAACGGTGCGAGCTTCACGTTCTGAAAGTGCCGAGAGAACCGGAATATAAATAGTCGCGAGGCGTCATAAACATGTATAGGCATAATCTCATAAAACAGGCGTTCGGAATAGTGTGAATCCGAGACGTAACTATGGAGGGCAGCATTGCATAATGGCAAATATCACTCCTCCAGTGACCTTTGCGGCCGGCAACCCACACTACGTGCCTCCGCCGCTCAAATTTAGGCACTCGCTTACTTCCGTGCATGGTTGCGCATTTTACCTGAAATACCTGAGATACCTGCGATTCTTATGAAAGAGGATAGTTATTAAGCCTACATAGGCACCATACACTGGAAAAAAACATATTGGATCCAGTGTCCAGACTCTTGAAAACATTGACAAGAAAAAGGACTCTTGATTCAATCAGATTTTAGCCTAAATCAGAAGGAAATCCGCTCAAATTAAGAGGCTTGGTTCTTGAATTAAGCTTAAATCTGGATTGAATCAAGAGTATTTTTTCTTATCGATGTTTTTAAGAGATTGCACTCTAGATCCAATGTGTTCTTTTTCCAAGGTATCGTCATCTTCCAGCCAAGGTATCATTAGCGACATGCGACGTTTAAAAATTTTTACCGCCATTAATTTCATTTTTTAGAGAGACATTTTACAACGATGCTGTCCGAAAATGTCGCTGAATTTTTTTTGTTCTGCCGATAAAATTCAGTGAAGTTTTCAAACAGATTCAACCAAAAATTTCTCTGTAAAAAAATAAAAGGACGGCGGAAATTTGTAAAAACGCATAGCACTTGTGATACTTTGGCCGGAGCGTTTTAAATTTCAAGGGGTGCTTTAAGAAGGAAACTTTACGATGAGACCAATAAAACCACTTTTAGAGCCTCAAATTTTTGTATAAACGGAGTTATAACCGTTTAAAGTTCTCAAATTTTGTCCGACCTCTCCTATTGACTCGATCCATTGTGCGTCGTATGAGCCTTCAGGCGCTGCCGAATTTCCTTCGACAAAACACGAATTTTCGGAAAAATTTGTGAATATTTCTCCTCCAATTTTTCCACAGGATTTCGTTCGTAATTTGATCCAGAAAATCTTAAAATTTCCAAGAAAAAAATTCGTAACTTTCATCAAAAATACATATTTTCAAAGCAGAAATTTGGCACATTCGAATGCTTTTACGGCGTTTTTACTTAGCACGGCTTTGTACTGTGGCTCTTGTTTCCTCTTTGCTCCCAGGATACCGTTTTGACACAAGGTAAGTGGAACGAAAGGATGCCCTTTCTGACCTTTTCGGTCAAAACTCGACTTTCGGCAACCGCCGCTAGAGCTAAGGCGCGAAATTTGAATTTCAACAACATTGCAGTCTCGACCGAAAACAATTATTACCATCTACTGTTGATAAAAATGAATAAACCGTCACCTCGCTAATTGCATGTGGATTTCCATTCTTAAAAGAATTTGCTTGCACTGAATGTGTTCGTTTTTATCAACAGCAGACGGTTTTATTTGTTTTCAGCCAAGCCTGCAATTGAGCACAGGGGAGAATTTCATGAGCACCACCGCTCGTGGCGCACTGTGGTCCAAAACTCAAGAATAGGAAGAAATAAGTCGGATAATGACCGAAGGATCACGTAAGTTTCGTGACTGGCGTTTTTTTGAGTCGCTAATTTCGAATTTGATGTCAAGTTCCCTACATTTTAACACCCTGACTTATTAATTGTGAGCAAGTTTATGGCACGCTGCATGCAGCGCGGCGTGCTTGCCAGCTCGAAACCCACACTGACGCCTACAAACCTAAGAGGATACTTCAAGCATTGCGCAATGCGTGAAGTATCCCTTTAGGTTTGTAGGCGTCAGAGCGCGTTTTGCGCTGACATCCATGAGCCGCGATGTCTTAACTTCTCTATAAAGGACTCTAGTTTTGCCAGGGTTGCAGACCAAGCATACACAATCCCTTGGAGGCTTGATTTTTCACTGAGATGCACCTGTTGTGGTCAGCGGTGGCGCTAAGTTGACCTGCGGAGGACAGTGCTTGTCAAGCGGTGAGTGGCGGTGCGGAAGCGGTGACAGGTGGAATATGTAATGGAGGTTTGCGCCCGGCGATGGGCACTCTACTCGAATTACGCGGGGCGGTGACTCAGCGCTTTCGGTCGAGCGTGGAATAATCAATCATCGCATCGCCGAAGATACCGATGCCTTCGACTTATCCCAGACCGATTGCTAATCCGCGGCGGTAGCTTGGCCGCGCATGGACTTTGATGAAGTTTCGACCCTAGAATTATGATATTCTTAGGTCTTTCAGACCCCCGGATTGCTATAATGGAGAATTTGCATCTTTGCATGGAGAGTTTGGCTAGATATAAGGGTGGACTCTCGGGATAGCGTGGGATATCCCCTATTATGGCCTCAACTTTAAGAGCTTTTTTGAGCCTTGGAGTTCGTTTCAGAGAAAACCAGTGGCATCATCATGTTACTTGCAAAAGTTTACGCAAGATTACAACTTCAGTCGCAAATTCCCTACACATGAAAGAGCTCCATTTGTTGAGATTAAGCGTTAGGGTTGTACTAACATAGAAAGAGGAGGGCGCACAGCAGATCGAGTTAATAGGAGAGGGGTCGGACAAAATTCGGAAACTTTAAACGCTTATATCTCCGTTCATACAAAATTTTGAGGTTCTAAAAGTAGTTCCATTGGTTCCTCCGTGAAGTTATCTTTTAGGTGCACCCCTTAAAGTTGAAAATACGACGAAATAATTATCAAAATGCAGTCTTAGTCAAAAATTTCAAGTCCGATCTCTCTGATGATTGACTCGATCCACTGTGGGGCGGGCGCTCCAAAAAATAAAAAAAAAAACCGACGGTCGAACTGCAAAACTAGATATCTGGGTTTGTGGTGAGTAGCACACTACACCACTGTGGTGTTGAAGACTCTTTATCATACTCAATGATCTTTTAATAAAAAATCACTGCATGTCATTTTTTGAACAATTTGGTAATTTTTCTTTTTAGTGTGAGGAAAATAACGTCGGGAATATTCGTTTACAGGCGAGGGCAGGAAACAGCACCAGGCTGCACCAGCAGTCCACAACAAAAACATCAAAACTTCTTGATGAGTCGATGATACATTGTTCACAACGCCTGGCAGCAACTATTCGTGTTCCACGGATGCCCGTTTTGCATATGCGAATAATTGAAGGCACCCCAGATTTTCCTGTCACTTTGTGCGTTTACGGCGCCTCGTCGCACAGTGGATCGAGGCAGTAGGAGAGGTCGAACAAAATTTGGAAACTTGAAACGCTTATAGCTCCGTTTGTACAAAATGTTGAGGTTTTAAAAGTGGTTCCCTTGGTTTTCTCGTGAAATTTGCCAGTACGAGCACCCCTTGAAATTTAGAATGTGACGAAATAAACATCAAAATTTGCAGTTTCAGTCAAAAATTTCGTGTCTGACCTCCCTAATTGACTCGATCCACTTTGCGCCGCGCCGAGAAGTGATTGGTGGAATCAGAATATCATACTGCATGGACCATGGTGTAGAGAATATTCAACGGTCGAACTCCCAGACCACTTATCTCGGTTAGCAACGTTGCAGACTTTCTGTCATACATTATTTTTTAAAACAAAAACTACTCTCCGTTATTTCTTTAAAAATTTGCCAACCCTTCCTTCCTGAGTGAAGGACGTCAAGCCATGATGTTGATTCGGTCTCTTTTTAACATTTAAAATAGGAGTGGAGATTTTCAAATCTCGTAATTAAAATACGCGTTATTGCTGAAGTTTCACCGTCGAAATGGGTTAACCATTCCTGTTTTATCATTTTAATATAGAACTAAACTACATGATGCCTTTAAACTTTTTATGAAATTCCGCTGATTTCTGATTAAATCCGTTCATTTGTGCGACAGTTTAGCATTCTTAACATATGAGCCTCATTTTGCAATAAGGGACTACTATTTCCAGCTCATTTTAGAAACAACGAACGTGATGCTAGTTTCCCTATGTAGATAGGTGTTTATACAGATGAGCCAGAAGTAGGAGTCCCTAATTGCAAAAGGTGGTCCATATGTAAGATCAGAACACATTTAAACCAAGGAGGAGAAGGAGAAAAAGCAGAAGAAAAAGAACATGAATGTTTTTTTCACGCCAATACTTCAAACATATCTTTAAGATCTGTTCTGGAGGGCACAGTTGATACGACAAGAGGAGTGTTATAAAATTCTACTCAGACAATTTTTGAGTGAATCCATTGTTTTTACCTTTAGACAATTGTTTAAAAATCTCAAAATTTTTGGGAATAAATTTCCTCTTATACCACCTCGCTTTGATTTTAGTGTGTCTCTATTTTTTCGAATTTGACTTAAAATCACTGTTCATACATGGTATTATTTCATTTGCGTCAAACATTTCATTTTACCCATTGGATCCTAAATGCTTCATTTATAGACATACCTGAAAGGAGGAAATTGCGTCCTGATAGTTGTCATAAAAAAAATCTCTGTTATCTTTGTTGGAATCGCCCTCACTAAATTTCAAATAACCTATTGGATCGGTGCAGTTGGCGCCAGCGTAGATCTGGACACAATCAACGAATCCCTGAGCGGATGAAACTTTTTTATCCAATCCCGGACACATGGGTTGACAGCTCTTCTTCACCTGCATCTCGCATCTCTTCCCGCCGAAATCCTTGTGCTCGTAAAATATAACGGTATTGTTTTTAACGCACTCGCCTATCGAGGAAATCGAATCTTGAAAGTCTCCGTATTTGAAGTTGTCGTAGGGTAGGCCGTCGCTAAACCTCAAAGTGCCTATAAACCCCTTGCAATTGGCCTCGCGGTAGACGTTCGCGCATTGAGCGTCGCCTTGGGCGGAGGAAGCTAGCTTCACCAACTCCGGGCACATCGGTTGGCAGCCTTTCACGGGTATGTCACATCTCTTCCCGCGGAAGGATTTATGCTCGTAAAATGAAATGGAACTGTTGGAACAGTCGCTGATAGAGGAAATACTGTCTTGGAGGTTTGTGTCTTTGAAATCTGGTTGTGCGAGCCCGGTGAGGTCCAGGACACCCAAAAATCCCTTGCAATTCGGCTCCTTGTACATTTTGGCGCAGCTGACGCCAGTCCCGAATGCGGACGAGGCTCGGTTATCTAGATCTGGACACATCGGCTTGCAACCTCTCGACGGCATCTGAATGTTGCATCTCTTCCCGCGGAAGTTCTTGTGCTCGTAAAATGAGATCGAATAATCTGGCTGTGAAACATGAAATCAATTTGCATCAATAGTGGAACGCATAGTCGTTATGGTTAGTTTGATAGTAACGGTGTGCTAAAAAAATAGGTACCTTGGGTTAATATTGTCACAAGCTTCCCAGGTAATTGCACCAATATCTGTGCGACTAATTTTCGGATCCGGGCTGCAAGTTTGAGACAATATGGCCACAAGATTGGAGATCCAATATTGAAAGCTGGTAATAGCGACTTTGTGCCAAGCTTGGATATTGTTGAGAATTTAACCGTGCCCAATGATATCTCAATAATCTGACAATATTATACCAATGTCAAATTTCCGATTGGGTAGCACCTTAGTCTTAAAATGAGGTGTTTTTGGTGTATTTTGTTCCTTTACAATTAAAAAATAACTTACATTTTTACCTAATAACCACCAGTTTTTGCCTCTCGAGAAACAAGATCAAGATCACGTAATAACGTATCAGGGGTTATCCCTAAAACTTGTGGTACTATAATGATGTTGGTAGTACTGCAACTCAAGTTGAGATAGTATCGTAACATTTGGGTTCGTAACCTAATTTATTGGGGCACTACCACAATTAATCAGGGTATTATCACAATTAATTGGAAATGTCCATGTCATCCAACAGTGTTGTTGGGACAAAAACCCTACCTCTTTTTTTCTTGTAAGTTTTTTAGGTCAAAAGAAAGGTGGTTCTAGTGTACTTTAAGCCACCAAATCACAAGATGATTTTACAATATATTAATTATTAACCCTCCAGTTTCCAGACATGTTTCCCCTCCAAATGCACTTTTTACCCTCTTTCAAAAGTAGCGTGAGAAACTATTTCCAAGAAAAACGTTCCTTCGAAAAACTGAAGGGAACAAGAAAAATTCGAGGTCGTTTTCAGATTCAGTGGCTCAGAATATACTTGACTTGCTCTTGGTAGGGACCACAGAAATCTTTTCTATGTAGTTTCTGTGTAGTTCTTTTCAGTATGTTCTTCATCTTTGACAATTATCTTCTACTATTTGAACAGTCACGAAGCACCCTAAACATTTGCTGATTCGTTATATAGGGGGCTCAAAGTTGTGTACGTTTCCCAAGTCTAGGGTCCCCCGTATCACATCAGCGAATGTTTTGGGAGGGGGGGGCTTCGAGACGGTCAAAGTTGGATTTTAAGTGATCAATCACCAAATAAAATATTGTTTTCCGCACCTCTACGCCAATTTAATGAAACAGAATGGAGATGTTGCCTGTGTGAGGAATTTGCGATTTGACTGCTGATTCTTATGTAAAAGTTCGCGAGAAACACGATGGTCCCACTGGTTTTCTCTGAAATTATCTCCCAAGCTCAAAACAAAGCTCTCAAGTTGAGGCCAAAATGGAGGGGATATCCCACGCTATCCTGAGAGTCCACCTCTATATCAAGACAAACTCTCCATGCAAAGATAGGGAGCAAATGCATTAGAAGTGATGCCGTGTTTTCCGTTTTAAAGTCCCCAAATATCGTGGCAGCCCTATCAATGTATTTGCTCCCTATCTTTGCATGGAGAGTTTGTCTTGATAAAGACGTGAACTCTCAGGGTAGCGTGGGATATCCCCTCCATTTTGGCCTCAACTTGAGAGTTTTTTTTGAGCTTGGGAGTTAATATCAGAGAAAACCAGTGGCCTCATCGTGTTTCTCGCGAAATTTTACATAAGAATCAACAGTCAAAACGCAAACTCCTCACACATGCAACATCTCCATTCTGGCGAGAGGGGCTTTATCCCCCCGTTTTAAGGGATCAGTAGTTCGAATACGAGAAAGCCAAATTTGGATTTCTCGGTTTCGGATTGGGTTAAAATTTTCCGTACGCTCTGAGTTTGATGGGATAATTTAAAAATGTTGACGGAACCCCAACTTCCTTAGTCGTGAGCCCCTTTTACACCCCAGGGGCGCCACCGGGGGGGGGGCGTGAAATTTAGATTACTTGATGTCAGCTCCCTATTTTTGTCTTCGCAGTCTCAGACTTCATCTGACTGAAATAACCGGGGAAAAAGCCTGGCAGGGTAGTCTAGACTAGAGTACCTATATAGCGAGAGTATGGACAGATCGCTTCATGGAGGGCTCAGGGCCCAAAAGTGCAGCCACCCTTCTAACCAACTTCTAACGCACAAAATTTCACTGTCAGTCTGCAGATTCCAATTCTAACCAAGATGGCCAAGAATGTACAGAAATGAGCGTTCTTCCGCGAAACTGAGTAAATTTATGCAAAAACTGAGGCAAACACGTGCTTAATAAAGGACGGTTCGTAACAATAGTATCAGTAAATCGCTCTGGATAATTGAAATTCATAGGTTGGCTGCCCTTTTGGGCCCTAACTTTATTCGCGGAGGCATCGGTGAAGGCCTGATGGACTTTCGCAGTTTCAGATCTGTCGGTATTCTCCCTATACAGGTACTCTAGGCAGGGTAGTCTAGACTTACTGTACAGTTATACTTACATCGATCGGTTGAGAGCAGTCCCCGACAGAAACAATGGAGTCTTGGCCGGCTGTACCTTGGAAGTTTTTATACGGACCCATGGTTGCGTTCCAGGTGCCCATGTACGTCTGGCAATTTTTCTCGCGAAAAAAATGGACGCAAGCGGCGTTTCCTTGCATGGATGAAGCTTTCCTCTCCATTCCAGGGCACACCGCTTTGCAGCCCTCAACTTGAATTTCACAATGGGCGCCTTTGAAATCCTTGTCCTTGTAGAGCGTTATCGAATTGGGAGCGCCAGACGACAGCGACAGCACGGTGTGGAGTTTGCATATGATCACAGATATTACCATAATTTGTTCGCAAATTCGGCATATTTGAGGCATTGTGTGTCCTGTAACAAAAAGGTCCTTTAAGGTGATTCGACGGACGCCATTTTTTGTGTCAGAGCGATGTGCGATACATCCTGTGTGATCCTCAAATTAAACTTTGATTCCGTAGCCGAATCGACTTCCCGAAAAGGGGCCATTATTGGGTAGATATTTGATCCGGGATGGTTTTTTTTTTTTGGAAATTCCTCCAAGGTAGGCCCCTGAGCCCCCTATTCTCTGAGAAGATTCTTCAACTGGTGCTTAAGATGTTTTGAAATTCCTCTCTCAACTCGTTTAGCACCAAAAAAATGTTCTGAGTTTAACTTAAGGCGATTCGACGGACGCCATGTTTTGGGTCAGAGCGAGGTGCGATTTATCGCATCGATTCGTTCCATAATTTCAGCTATTTGTCATTTTTTTCGATTGTTGAGATCACACTTCTGTTGTCACGAGACTGAAGAATTCATGTACCAAATTTGACGAAGAGATTCAACCCAATTAAGGGGGAAAATATAGCATTCGATACTGCTATTGAAACCGCACTCGAATGCAATATTTTTCCTCTAAAAATACCACGCCTCTATTACGTTGAATTTCTTTGTCAAATTTGGAACATGAATTCTTCAGTCTCATGACAACAGAAGTGCGATCTCAAAATCCGAAAACATTACGAGGAGCTGAAATTATGGAGCAAATTGATGCGATAAATCGGACCTCGCTCTGACACAAAAAATGGCGTCCGTCGAATCGCCTTAAGTTAAACTCGGAACATTTTGTTGGTGCTAAACGAGTTGAGAGAGGAATTTCAAAACATCTTAACCACCAGTTGAAGAATCTTCTCAGAGAATAGGGGGCTCAGGGGCCTACCTTGGAGGAATTTCCAACAAAAAAAAACCATCCCGGATCAAATATCCACCCAATAATGGCCCCTTTTCGGGAAGTCGATTCGGCCACGGAATCAAAGTTTAATTTGACGATCACATGATAACAGAAAACTCAAGAATTTTTAAGATGAGTGTAGGAATAATTTCCAAGCTACCGGGGAGAAAGGAGAGAAGGGTGGAGAAT